TAAGTGATGAATCAGGTAAAATTGATTTATAAATGATGGAGTTGATATATTTTCAAAAATTACTAATATTTTTGTTTATCAATAATTAATATAGCCATAATGTTTTGTAGACTCTTAATTGATATAGGTAGGTGGACAATTGTTCTTATAAAATATTTGCTACCTTATATTTAAAATTTACGTTACCCAGTTAATAAAAAGGGTACCATGAAAAAATGTAAGTAGATAATATGAGTTTGCGAGCGAAGCGAGTGGTTTTTTTTTACCCATTCGGTCCTCTCAAAACCTTTGCCCCCCTCTATTGAAAACTGAAATGATGCCACTGACTACAATTAAATGTAATTGCAAATTTTAAGATCTATTTTTCAACTAAGTATGCGTGTCATACAGTCATCATAGTATATCTTGTATAAATTAACCATGATTTAAAATAATATAATATATGTTCATTATAATCGTGTTCTATACATAAATTAATTGTTTTGGGTACTTTTTGATTCTAATCGTGTTTCTATAACCACATAAATTAATTGTTTTGATTCTCACAGGAATTTCAAAATATCTGTTTCACGCCTTCGCCACTAGGTATTATATTATATTCATTATTCACGAGTCACGAGTCACCACTGAAATCAACAAATACAGATTATAGACACACTTCAACCAACGGCAGCCTGCATTTGTACAATTTAATAAGTAGGTATAATAACCAAGTAACTTTAATTTCCGTTTTTGTTTCCATTTTATTTAAAACTCAATTAAAACACTTAACACCAGTGGCGTCCACGGGGGGGCTAACGGGCTGAAGCCCCCCCATGGCCGTATTATTATTACTTAAAAAAAAATATATTTATCGAGTTTCAACTGTCAACTATAGTAAGCAAGACATAAATTTCATATATGTCTTACCAGAATGAATTCATTTTTGAAAAAACATGATATTTACATACCAATTTTCCTAAAATTATCTGTAATTTTTCGGTAAAAGTATGAACTACTTGTATTAAATTTTCTAGTCTTAGCTTATACAAATTTAATATTTTATAAGTTTTGAACTACAAATTGATTGTGGTTTTGACGAAATTTGAACTTTAAATACTTAAAAAAAATAACCATGATGCCTATGTACAGTTAATATTTTACTATTTAAGCTATAACAAAAACTTACATTTTACATTTTTAAGCTTTTTAACAGGATAAATAATTTATAGAAAAAAAAAATTTTAATTAATCGAATACAATTCAAGTGAGGACGGTATAACCAAGCTGGTTACCATACTATATTTTAATAAATTTTCATTTTTTTTTCCAATTGTTTATTTGTTTCCAAAAAAGCACTGAGCATTTTCAATTTTGACCTCTTAAAAGTACCAACTAGATCCAATTTGCTTCTAAAAACATACATCGGGTATCGAACCTTATGATCAAAGCATTTTTTCTATCAGAAAGCCGGATTAATGAAATTAGTGGCCCTGGGCTAGTTTATTTTTGGGGCTGTAATTAAAAAAAGTATTTTTATAATAATATGCTAATTGATATTTATTGGTTAAATAAGAATTTATAACACGACGGGACTGACGTTGTGTTACTCAAATGAAAAAAGACTGAGTGTAAATACGTAAGAATATGGTACAAATGTACAATATGTACAAAAGAAAAAGAAAAGATAACAAACAGATATGATTTATATCTGTGAAGGATATACTAATATGGATATAGCTATTAAACGACTGTAATTGTACCTAATGGATATTGTGATATGATTAATTTGGGATTTATAATAGGTACCTATTATAGGTCAATTTTTGTTTTAATACCATAGATATGTATATAATATGTCTTATATCTAGACTGACATACCGTCTCCGCTCAGAATCGTTTTTCTTATACAATGATATTATATCATTGAATTCAAATTTAATACCATCCATTATACAGTGACCCACTTGTAACCTACTGTACAGCAGAGCACCTTTTTCTAATTATATATCTATAACTGTAGAAAAGCTGCAAGCCCATATTATTTTTTTGGGGTCCTCTTTTTTTTGTAGGCCCTGGGCTATAGCCCGCTTAGCCCCACCCCCCTTATTCCGGCTCTGACTATATTATAGCAGGTATAGGTACCTACGATTAGCGTTAAACTCTTCATTAAAATAATCTACAGATAGGCCGATCTACATGTGTAATAGATAAAATATAAAATTATTACACGTATAGATTACACTCGGCCCCAATTGGTATAAAGAAATATAATTCAGTTTTCACTTTTAACATTATCCAAATGTTAACATTACCCGTAACATATTACATATATATAGTATATAACCGGCAAAGTTGTAAATTAAGAAATTAACGTTAAAAACGACTAGCCAATAACGATATTTTCGATCAAATTAGACGGTATAAGATTTTGACTAGAAAATAAGTAATAGCGTTAATGTCCATTTTTTTCTGGCCATGATGAGTTTAAAAAAATTTCCTTGATAATGCATTATGATGACTAATGACGATAACTTATTTGTTATAATATTTGTTCAGGCGCACATCTACTAACACATTAGAAAACATGTATCTATAGTTTTCTAATTATGTAGCACTTACCTTCAAAGTGTCACAGTACATACAATTGTGAAAATAAATTATTCAATTTATTTTAATTATCACTTATACCTAATATTATATTATTATCTGTAATTTAACTTCTATTATTACATTTCTGACTCAATTTAAATATTTTGCTCAACAAAATTATCAACGTTGTCTATCAGTATTCATATATATAAATATATAATATATAGCTTGGTGCACACATACATAATTTTCTACTCGGTCAAAGCCATGAATAAACCATTACATCAATTCTTATAGATATATATTATATAGGCCCATAGGTACTGGATTACAGATAGGATATACATATTATAATACATTTCTATAGATATATAGATATATGCAACATAATTGTATGCCGACCGATAAGATTTAATGTCACTTTACTATGCAGTCTTGGCCACTAAAACGTCATCCATGTATATATATATGCAAACACATTTATAAAAAGTCGGCAAGTATACAGCGTCGTTCAAATTGTCACGTTAGCCATTTACGTGTAAATAATATATAGCTATATAGGTTATAGTATTCTCCTGTTGAAAGAAGCGTAATGTTTAACTTGAAAATTGAAAGCTCTGAGTGTTTTTTTGATTTTGCTATACGAATTGTGTCCATACAATATAATATGTTCAAAGACTGGCTTTAAAAATCCAATCAACCAAACCTTCTCTAATTTTTTGCTCGGGAACAATATATTCAACGAAATATATATGTGCGCATATTATATTATGGCCTATAGGCTATAATACCTTTAGGTATGACATGCGTGAAGTGAATTAATAAATTTATGACACCAGTGGATCTATGTTATGCTAAGTGCATTATTTTTCAATATGCTGAATTGCCATAAAATACGTAGAACAGGTTCAAAATGCAATTTCTTAAACATTTTTTTTTTTTTTTGACGACTATTATAATTATAATAGGTACCTAAAATACCGGACTTATAAATTATATTTTTTTATATATTCTCTCCATTATACCTATAATTATCTGATATAACTAGCTGAATAACCCGGCTGTGTGCAGTTTTTTTGTGTTATAACTTTTTTTTATCAGTTTTATATTACAGGTAGAGATTGCCTTTAGATCATTAGTAATTATAAGGTATGATCCATTACCATTATTATTATTATGCATTAGATCGCAGATTTCTGATAGGTACCTCTAAAAACCATCTCTGAGATTTTCATCAAAATCAATCGAGTGATTTTTTAGTATATAAGCTACAAAATATACATTTGGTTTTAACTTTTAAGATAATATAGTTTTTTTAAATCGCGTTAAAATTTAAATATATCGCGACGATTTGATGCAAGTTTCTATCTGATCTGCCAGAGTAACCAATGGCAACCATTTATAAACAACAACAAAAATTCAATTTCCACCGTGAATCTCAAAATGTCTGTTCAAGGACCTCTTTAAAATTCACATATTGCAAAATCATTTCTTAGTGTTAGTCCTTACACCATAGAACGAAACTATTGGCCAAAATATTTCATACCTACTCATAGCTTTGGTGGTTTCGGCTGATGAATTAGTCAGTCCGACTAATTTTTAAATTACATAAAATGTACTTACATACAAAAAAAATTTAATGTTGCAGATTCACATTTAAAAATCAAAAGTCGATTTGAATTCGTAATGTATTGTATGTATTTGTATGTAATGTATTGTAAATATGATACTATCACGAATCAGTCAAAAAGTATTGTAGAAAAACCCCATAAACGAAAATATGACAATTGATCAAACTTTATGTGAACTATATATCTCAAATATCAAATATTGTCAATTTATAATGTATAGTGTATAATAATAATTATTTTAATAATAATAATACCAAAAAATCAAAAAAAAAAATCACTGACAATAATACATTTATTGTTAATAGCTTAATAATTAATTGAGCAAAAACCATCATTTTTGGATTTGGTTATACATTGTCGTTGTGAAAACTGCAGTAATCATTGGTTTTTGGTGGCATAGCCATGTTTTGAACGACTCTGTATGTCACGAATCATGATTGAATGTACACTACATTACTCGATCATGAATAATAAGTAAAATATTCTCTTACAATAAAATATGTAATCCAATAAGAAACGTTCAAGTGAAAAAAAAAAAATAAAAGGTAAACGCCAAATAACATCGCTGTATACCTTCCTACCTACCTACCTACCTACCTGCCTACCTATCTACCTAAACGCATTCATGCCACCCACAACCCCTGCAGGGGCCTCAGTTTCTAAACATGGGTGGTTTACGTGCGTTGTGCGTGGGTTTCGGCGTGTCTGTTATTTTTTCGTACAATTTCTGAAGACATAAATTCAGTGGAATATTATAATTGATGTTTAAATATTATACAATATTCTTTATAGGTAATCATGGAAAAATCAATATTTTCATTTTTGGCCGTCTGTTTGTTGGTTCACGGTTATTGCGGTAGCGACTGCTTCAAGTACGTGGCCGCAGGAGCTTGTGCATCATTGGGACTGTGGTATGGTTACCGATTTTTGATCAGACCATTGGACATACAAAGGGTAAACGAATATGGAATGATATTATACTGCGTATATAACTTAGACATTGTCTATAGCATAATATAATATAAGTAGTAGATACATAGTAGTAGGTATATAACTGCAACCAGGGTATTGTAACCTCAACATTTGGGCCCTCGAGCGATATTTTTAACTTTCCACCCCCAATCTGGGCAAGTATCCGAGATATCTCAAGAGGGTTCCTTCGTTTGCTGAAATTATTTCATACATTGTTTATATATTATTACATGGTTTAATACTTGTTTTTCTAGAAAGAAAAACGAGGTACAGAAGTAAGTATCAATAATAATACATATTATTTTGATTTTTGAGCAATAACGTCACAAAAGTCATGGAATTTAACTAATTTAAGTGTTCCAACCTTTTTAATGCTATTTAAAAATCACGCATAACGACTTATTGTTTTTCGTAAAAAATTTGAATTTGCAGTGCCTAATCATAAAAGTCATACTCCCGTCGACCGACCTACCTATTATACATCTCTTTGGTAAAACACATAGGTACGAGCTACAACACAATTATAATCGTAGACACATAATGTTCTTAAAATGAAAATGTATGCTTTGAGTCTTAAAAGAAAAATGTAATAAACAGTATATTATTAAAAGAACAAAATTGTGCACTCTGGGCTCCCTAAGCGTGCGGGCCCCGGATGGTTATACCACTGCAGGGTACCTACAGACTGCAGTAATATGATGATACCATTAAATTGTAATATTTTCACTGAAAACGATTCCGATTCGTCGTGATTGATTGGCGAATTAACATTCCGTATATTATTATATTTTATATTTATAAAATATGTATATTGTCATGTATGCTTTGAATACCCAAATAATTGAAGTAAGTTACTTCTGTTTTATTAACAAAAGAAATTGGCCGACGTGGGTTACGAACAGCACTTCACACAAAAGCAATGGGTGTCAAAAGATAAGTTACACCTGATACGATCCATGATGAAACTAAGGAAAAAAGGAACGTTGCCGCCAGTCTATCCGAATGGATGGTTTGCGCTCCTGGACTCCGATCAAGTCATCGTCAATCAAGTTAAGTACGTGACGGCTCTAGGTAAGTTACAGTGTTCTATTTTCGGAAACATTAAATCCAAAACCTCATCTACACCCTCTATATATAGTATAGACTATAGCAATGCCGTATACCTAGTCGGCTAGTCACCTAGGCAGAAATTGAGCAAATAATTTTCCTGTTATTTTTACTGGGCAAATAAAATTAGAGTAACCGTACTAACCTTTGATCTAGCCCAGTGCGTGTCAAGGATTTGCGGGGCCTAGTGTGAAATATTTTTTTTATATGAAGGGTTTCTCTTCCTAAACACTTAACCAAATACATCAAATGGCTCTTGCCTCATAGTTCGGTTAATATACTAATATACTATAACAGGCGTTTTTGTACTATGACACCTAAAATTTGCAACAAATACAAGAAATGAATATAGATTTATATTTATCCTGACTAATAACTTTAAGGGTTATTAACATTATTCGTGTTAAGCCTTTTTATGAGGTCTTCATATTTTAAATATTCTGTTAGTAGTACTTAGTACTTATATGTTTGAATGTTGTATGTGTTCTACTTAAAATTATTATGACAGTATTATGCTTCTATTATTGTGGAAAGCAGTAAATTTGTCAACAACCATTTCCATATTCAAAGTTTTTTCTTTTTCCAGTGTATAGCAATAGAAATTTATTTCTCATTTGAAGAATGGTTTCTCAGATAGGTTTAATTGGTATAATAGTATAATACGTGAAATAGTCCGCTCTACCACAGTACTTGATGGTGGAATTATTATACAGCCATTTTACATAAAGTAAATTTTTCTGAAAACCCCATTTTATACGTCTCTAAAAACTATATTTTAAGTATTTTTTCTTTGTAACTTTGAATCAACTTTGGCATCCTTTAATATTGCTTCCTAGTTAAAAAAAATATAATTATTACACGAACGTGAATTTTGAAACTGGGTTACTCAAATTCTAAGAAGGGCCTAAGGTAGAACTCTTTTTGCTAGGGCACATGGGCGCTTGGCCCTTACCTAACACCACCCCTGTGTATTTGTAAGATTATGCTACACATGCAATGTCAACAGGGGCAGATTGGGGAGAGATTCCGGCCCGGGAAAATACAAAGTATACCAATTAGTATTTTTTTTTTTGGCTTACCAATTTACCAAATATTTAATTTTAGCCAACATAATATTATTATGTATTACTATTTTAACATAACTACACGTTTGGCAAGATATGAAATTTATAAAACTTTATTCGTAGTGTACTAGTGTATATACATCGATATCAAATTTATTTTTATTTTTGAACAGTTTATGTTTACACATTTATAATAGTCCAAACTCCAAGTACTTATATATAACACAGTAAAAGTGAATAATTTAAATTACTAATGTTACGATTTTTGTATTTAATAAGAAAGGTTATTACCTATTCAATAATATTTAATAATGCGTTTTTAGACTTAAATAAAATCTTATAATTTACTTCCACTTAATATACCTGATAGGTAAATTAACAGAATCAACATGCAAAATGTATGTGTTTTTCTTTATTTTCTAAAAAAATGTTTTACTGTGGTTTATTCATAATAACATTATGTAGGTACTTCAATTCTAAACCATCAGAAAAATTGTATAGTCTTGTTTTCCTTTAGTATTATTATGTAATATAATATTGAGTAAAATGTTTTGTCTCCGTCTTAGTACAATCTAACAAATTATCGTTCACTATCTGTATTCACCGATCAGCCGAAACGATATAATAATAATATTTAGCTGTAGTAACTAAATATTATAGAAATTATTGTATACCTACGTAATGTTACTTCCCTATTATTCAATAATTTATAAATTCGCCTAAACGATCGGTTAATTTCTGACCCAAATGATATATGCTTTACTCAAGTTAATTTTGGATTATTCGCCCAAACGAATGACGCTCAAATTTTTTACACCCGAAATACGTGTACTACTGTATTAGTATTAAAAAGTGTATAAAACATTTTTCGGAAATTTAAACACTGTTCAAAAGTTACAGCAAATCATAGTTTTTGAATATTACAGTGCTTACTGCTCAAATCAGGTTGACTTTTTCTATTTTCTACTTCCACGGGATGTCAAGTAAAGTAGACTTTTTCCGAAGTTTGTCGTTACCTAGAGATCACCCAATGTGGTTTTACATAACATATCAAGGGTTGTTTTCGATTTTAACTGTCCTAACTAGTGACCCCGCTATATTACATTTGCTGTTTTTGCTTTTCGAAAAATACTATATTTTTTCTTTCTGTCTCTCATCGTTGCGCCATCATAGATTGCCTACCTGATATACCTACTATTGCATATACTGACCGCAATCCAATTCGTATTGTCTTATTTTGAAAAATCGGGAAAAAAATGCAAATTTACTGGGCTGGTACCTAATAGGAATTTAAGAATACATAGTTATTTGAAAAAGCGGCCCACCGGGAAAACTCCCGAATTCCCGGTGGCCCAATCCGCCCCTGAATGTCAACTTAAAGTACTTATCTACAAAATTACGGACAAATTTAAAGGATTTTATAATGACCTTTTTGCAATTTAAATATAAATACATTCTACATTTCTACTATAGTTTTTATGTATTTTATAAGATAAACAAAAAATTTTCAAAATTGTCAATACTTTAAAATAGTGATAAGTACGTACATGGTACATGCCAAGATTATAAATTATAATCGTGGTACAGGTTGCATACAACATCAGCTATCAGGACGAAGACTATGGAATTCTATAAAAGTTTTTTTGTCTTTTTTTTGCCTATTTTATAAAATGTAAATTTTACATAAATATAATTATTTAATATTTTAAAAACTATATGTTTTGAGTTTTTAAATTCAATAAATCAATTTATTTTACAAAATTTATCGTAAAACTATAGTTTACACATAATTTAACTCATACTAAGATTGGTTCTCTAGAGGTGAAGGCTGTTGAAAGTTAATTTATAATATTATTATAGCAGCAGCTAATATTTTAGATGTTCAGCTTGTTATTTTGTGACTTTTTGACACGCATATAGGTACAGGAATAAAAATGTATTATAGAGGTTCAACCTGGACGGTACTAATTTATTCAAACCACTGCACTGTCTGGTTTAAGTAAATTAAAAAAAATTTAAAAAGTAGACAAGACCTTGACTCTTAGACTACGCATAACCAGAAAATAAAATAAAAAAATTCACATTCAATCAGATGTAGGTGTCTATAATGTTATTCATTATTGGCCATTATGGTACGCTGCAACGCACACCCTACGGCCTACACTGTAAAAAAATGTTATTAAACTTCTATTATTATTTATTAATGATGCTTTATACCTGTTGTGTACCTGCAGTGTCTATATTAAACAGAATATAAATTTTGCACTTTTAAATCGTAAAAATTCAATTATTTATAAAAAAAAAAAAAATTATGTTTTACTTATACCAAAACCTTGCAAGCATTCCAATCCATATGCCTACGCTTAATAACCTCTGCCTCTTGGTATGTAACCAACAAAAACCTCTACAAAGACCTTAATATTCCAACCCTCAACGACTTAGCCAAATCTCATTACATAAAATTCCACTGATAACTTCGCGCCCATTCAAATCCACTAATTAAAAATCCATCCACTTCCTCACTCATTCCTAGAAGGTTAAAAAGAAAATGGCCAAGAGACAAGAGACCTGCTCAATGCTTAAAAAAAAAAAGATAAACTAACGAAAAACTTTAAAAAAAAAAAAAAACCTAATTTCTGGTCAGGTGGCACTGCTGGGAGCCTTCCTATTATGTTATTTATGTCTAATGTTCCTATGTCACCACACTTACTCATTATACCTCGTCTGTTGTATAGATTGTAAATATTCTTTTAAAATAAAAAAAAAAAAAATGTTTTACTTAAGGTAATAATGTTGTAGTTTGTAGATTTTATTGATAAACCATTTAAAAATAAATTAAATTTTGTTGTTTACACCAGTGGCGTAGTCAATGGAGTGGCTGAGGGGCTGCAGCCCCCCCCCCCCCCGAAATGTTAAGAAAATTTATTCAAAAAGTATTAAATTGTATTCAAAATATTTAAAAATTTACTATAATAGTATTAACACTTTTCAGGTATCTATCTGTGCTAGTACGTTATTTAATGTGTAAAAGTGTGAAAGTTGATTTTTTTTTTATTACCTATTTGTGTAAGTAAAATGAGATTGTTGAAGAGGTCGGGGGGGGGGTGGCCCCTTGGCCCCCCTAGATCCACCACTTGTGTAGAGTAGGTTGTAGCTACAAGCTACTATAGATGCCTTCGTTTATAAGTTATAATTATATAATAATATAATAATTTGTACTATAAGTATTTACTATTTTGTATAATATTATGTTTATTTTACTCATTTTAGGAGAAAATTTCGCAGTGTTTCGTGGGTCCAACGGCGACGTCAATATATTAAATGCTTATTGTCCTCATCTGGGTGCTAATATGGCTATTGGAGGAATAGTTAGAGGAAACTGTCTTCAATGTCCATTTCATGGATGGACATTTGACGGTACCAATGGGAAGTGCGTCCGAATTCTGAACGATTGTACTAATGGTAAAAATTCGTATACAGATAATCATAGGCGAAACTAGACCTCTAAAAGTGCCATAATTTTAAATGACTCATAGAGCAGTGGGAACTTAGCCCCTCACACCCCCTATTCCCAAAGTTACATCATTTTACAAGTTATAAATCTACAATAGTCAATAAGTATTTGAAAACTTTTTTAAACACATTTTAAGACGACCGGGTATGTATACCTACCTAATACTATTTTTATAAATATATTACGATTTTAGTATTTTACCGATAAAACTAACGGAGATTGGAGAGTTATACATAGTCTACCATCTATATTTAGAGATTTTTGATGGGACTGTGACTTATTGGTTAAAAATTAATTGTAAGCAATCCATCTTTCCATAATAATATGTATCGTAATGCTAATCATCCATCAGCTATATAGGAATACGTAATCATTTATAACAAATCAACAATGTTATGTCATTATGTGCATGTATGTATGTTTAGGTATGAAAAACTATGTATTATTATCTGCATTGGCACAACTAGGGGAATTCCAAAGAGTCTTTAGAAAACCAAGTTCTAATTTTGAAACCTTTGTTTTTTTAGGTCTATCATTATTATAGTGAAATAGGTAGGTACCATCAATTTTATGTTTTTAAAATATGAAATATTTATCTATCGGTAAAACCAGGGGGGGTTAGGTACCACCGTTGTACCAATGCAGATAATAATGCATAGTTTTTCATACCTATAGAACCATTATATAGAGGTACCTACGAAGGTACATGGTAAACGAACAGTATAGACATTATTTATATTCTTATATTTTATAGGCAAATTGTATAAGATTTTCGAAGATATGATCGATTCCGCCAGTACTTACAGGTAGTTTTAAAAACAACTATCGATTCCACCAATTATTAGAAATTCTAAGTCTAAGAAAGGTGTGAGGAAAATAAGTTTCCCGAACAAAAATTATAAATTGCAATTTCCTCAATTGTTTTTTTTTTAATATACGAAGACACAATAAAATTGATAACATACATAGGTTTTATTGGTTTAATAATAAAGTATTGGTTCATAATTTTGTAAATGTTTAAGATATTATTTTTTAAACTATTCTACATGAACATTTTGGTTTTACCAGTGGCGTAATTAAGTGGCAGAAGAAAAGTGCAAAGATATTTTTTTTGCACTAGTCGAAGCTGAACTTTATTCCTATTATAATATAATACAAATTAACAACTACATAATAATTATTCTATGGGCATACATAAATAAAAATTGTATCCAACAAATGTAATTAATTTTTGATCAGTTAACAATGTTAAGGGGTAGGTAACCTTCAGGACCGCCACAGGTTAATTCCGAAGTAGGTACTGGCGACTGGTGGAATCAATAGGTTGTTTGACTAGGTATCTAAGTATCTATCTTATACTGCCGGAATCGAAAAGTAATTTACTCATTTATCCATATCGATTTGCGATACTTGTGAAAAACCGAAAAAGCTTGCGCTTGTCCACAGGAGTGTCATCGAAGGCAGCGTCGGTGAGGAGATGGGAGAGTTGCGAAGCCAACGGGTTCGTGTTCGTGTGGTACCATGCGGAGAACGAGGCGCCATCGTGGCGGCCGGCCAGAGAAGTCATGGCCGGCAGCGGCTGGACGTACCGCGGCCGCAGCGAGCACTATGTGAACGCGCACATCCAAGATATCCCGGAAAATGGAGCGGACGTGGCCCATCTGCCGGCACTGCACGGCCACATGGCCCTCGGCGGTCAGTACGCCGCGCAGGCCGACCGGTCGCTGTGGAGGTGGCTCGGCGTCCACGAGTGGACGGCCGCGTGGCGGGCGGACGGCACCCGCGGGCCACACGTGTCCACGCTCGATCTGCAGCACGGGCTAGTGGTGTTCGGCAAGTTCGTCGTTTTCAAAATGAACGTGGAAGCGCAACAGGTACACGCCACTGCCTATACTCTGTTCAGGTTAAGAGTGCCCAAACTCGCGCATGAAAACTGAGCCTCTTAGCAAGATGCATGCGCGAACAGTACTAGTTTTCGTCCGAGCGACTGGACACTCTTAACCTGAACAGAGTATAGTACCTACCTATAAAGCTACATCACAAATTTGTTTGACTGATTGTTGTTGATTTAATATAGAAAAACGAAAGTTAAGTTTAAAGTAAAAGTAACTTTCCTATATTGATAACTTAAGAAAGTTTCAAGTTAAATGGAAAAAGGGGGAAAGTAGGTAGCCACTCAGCGTAGATAAGTAATGAGTAAATCGTTGTAGATAAATAATTAAATAATTACATAATATCTATACATCCGAAAAACGGTTCTGAGTAAATAAGGTCTGTCAGCCTACATTACTAAAAACTAAGTATATTTTATGATATATTTATAAAATTATTTATTAATATTTAATTACTATAAAAGTTAACATAAATGTATATAATTTTTTATTGTTATTAACTTTTGGGTCAAAACCGACTTATAGAAGATTGAAGAACGGTGTGAATAAGTTTGTGGTATAAAATATAAATAGAAAATAGCATAAAGTGAATCTTAGTGTTTTGAAAATTTCATTGTGACATTGTGTGTATAATAAAATAGGTTTGTAAAAGATTCAAGTCCCCACAAAAAAAATTTAAAAAATAAATTAAATATCATATATCTATAAAAAAAAACTCTGTTTATATATTTTTTAGATTTTTTGGTAATAATATTACAATATTAACTACTTATTAGAATCACATCCTTTCACGGTTCAATTATTTTAAAGCACCGCATAATAATTTTGTTCAATTTATTCTTTTGTTTTATTAGTTAAATAATTTTGTTGCTTTACAAATTTGTTATTGCGAGAATGCAATACACCAATTTTATATTCAATACCTATATGGCTATATTATGATTGCTAATTTGATTGTAAAATTGATGAAGATCCTTTATCTATTGGAGGAGGTTGTCGTAATTTAGTAATTATGTAGGTATCTTATTGTTATAATAAATTATGTATCACATAATATATAGCTATATAGGTACTTAATTAATTTTATAGTTTTTTTCTTAAAATATGACTAATATGCAAACACAAATTGATAACATAACACATTTTGTGGGTAAAATCCGAGTAAAAAATTATATTTGACAAGGAGCCATGGTTCCTTCTTAGTCCGGCCTAGTTAAGCTTTATACACTTTTACCCAATTTACATGTTTTTTGTGAGTAATATACACTAAATATATTATATATTCATAAATTGAAGTACTAATCTACTTTAAAATAGGATATTATATTGTTACCAGATACCAGTTATGGTATTAAAATATGTTTATTACATATGTTGTACATCTATGATACACAACATGTTTATTGTTCATTTAATTTAGTGATATGCATACTTGATTTGAGCTTGAAAAAAAAATGTATAATGTCAATACTAAAATATTTAAGTATAAATTGTTATTGTCTTATAGATTGGTCCTGGATTAGTGATTTTAAATTTTAAAACCAGTTTTGGGCCCATAAAATTGGTACAAGTTGTAACCCCTGTCGAACCATTGATTCAAAAAGTTGTACATCGTATCTACTGTCCAGTGTATTTGTCACTCTATGCTTCAATAGTTTTATTTATGGAAGCTGCAATGGTTAGTTTAATGTCAAATGTCAATTACTATTGTTTTATAATTTTCACTAATGAATACTAAATTAGTAAATTATGTATTTAATGTTATTACAGTTTGAGAGAGATGTAGTCATTTGGAACCACAAGAGTTACATTGAAAAGCCTTTAGCTTCAAAACAAGAATCAACACTCTTGGCACATAGAAAATGGTACAAACAATTTTATAGTGCTAATAGTATACAATTTAGTAACAGAAAAGAAACAATGGATTGGTGAATTAATATATTAATTTTAATTTTACATAACTGAAAAGTATTAATAAATACATATAATATAATATAGTATTATAGGTATGTAAAATTTTAATATTAAATTTTACTTTAAGAGTTTTTGTCAAATGGAAATAAAAATAAAAATTGATTATATAATGGAAATATACACTTAATTTATTGCTTGATTGGTTGTGTTTCCTTTTTCAGCCATGTTAATGCTCTCGTGTCATCTAATTTTTCTAATAATGGTGTCAGAACTTCCAAACACTTACGATGGTATTCGTTTAAATAATCAATCTAATGAATTTTAAAACAATTAATAAATGCATTAATATAAACAATTATTATTGAATTTACCTCTGTATCTGTGAGCAAATCCATCACCAACATTTTAATTTGTATAGGGCACATAGTAACAGTTTCAAATTGTAAAAATGGCTTCTGTGGCATTTTATATTCAGTTGTTGTATCCTTAACTAAGACAATGTCTTCAATGCGTATACCAAAATCTTCCTCATAATACCCAGGTTCTGAATATTAATATTATTTTATAATTAATAATAATAAAAAAAAATAGAAATATGTTGTGTCAAATCAGTTATATCTATAAGATCAGACAACAATATTGGGTTTAAATACAAATGTTGTATCGTTTCATTTCACTCTATAATGAATGACATAGACAAAAAAAGCCAAAAATAGGGAAATTAATAAATTTATTTATGATCATCAATAGAGCGCAGATTTACATGCATTTACATATTTATTCTTGTTGATCGTATAATATGCTAAATGAGCAAAAAAATTGACAAAATGAAACATTTTTAATGCATATAATAATATAATGACATTTACCCATTTTTTCTATTTTAAGGGCTTATATTACAATTTTAATTGCATTTATTATCCTTTAGTACATATCTCGATGTTTTCTTTAGAAATTTTTGAAATTTATACTATTGTAATATAAGAAAAAAATATTAAATTTTTAAAGTTTCGATTAATATCAAAATAAATTAAAAGGTATACTTGTAGGTATAAACGGTTTTTCAAAAGAAGACTTTAGATCAATAAAATAAAATAAGTATACCAAGATAAGAAAATATCAATTACGACCATTGACATAATTTTAATTATAATGTTATTAATTAAATGTTCAAAAAATACATATTTAGCACATATTTGGTTGGTTTTTAATGCATATAAATCTGCGCTCTTACCGTCAACAATATAATGTAAGATATTTGCTGTTTGAAGATAAAATTGTATTTAGTTTTTAATTGAAGGTCTACCAGACAGGATGGGAAATGTCATTGAATGTAGAATAAAACAATTTAGTAGTTAATACAAGACATAATTTATAAACAATATACAATGTTGACACAACTTATGCATGCAAGATGGAAAAAATTGAACACTTAATTGGTTTTTGAGATGATACAACTCATATACTAAACGTTAAGAAGGGACATAGCAGATTTTACACAAAAATTACCATTTGATAAAAACATTCCAGGTTGTAAGCCAGGATCATTCGGAATTTCTCTCCAAGATATTCCCATAGGTCCTTCATGTACATTTAAGTAAGAACCAATACCATGACCAGTACCATGCATGTAATCTAAGCCAACGTCCCACAAAAATCTACGTGCATATGAATCCAGACAATTGCCCTTAAAGTTAAAACACAATATAAACATAAGTAAATAAAAATACAATTTTAAACAGAACTATAACATTTACTAGAATTTTGTGAGGAAATTTGCTCATTGCTAAATTCGCTTGACCTTTAAATACTCTAGTAAAACATTCTTTCTGGTATTCAGTCGGTGTTCCGAAATGTAATGTACGAGTTACATCAGTAGTTCCATCACTATTTAAAAAAAAAAAATATTAATATTAAGATTAAACAAAGTAACTGTTTATTAATTTAATAATAAAAAATTATACTAACAAAAATTGACCGCCAGAGTCACACAAATACATTTCGTCTACACTTAATTTTCTATCAGTTTCTGGAGTTGGTGAATAATGAATTATTCCACCATTTGGACCAGACGAAGAAATTGTTTCAAAACTTGGACCCACAAAATCTTCTTGCAAACTATTTAAATCAATAATTATAGTTAATATAAACAGAAATTGAATGAAAATAAAATGTTTCACAATAATTACCTTCTAAATGATAGTAACTTTTCAGCAACTGATATTTCAGTCAAATTTCCTAATGATATGTTTTCTTCTAACCAAGCAAAATATGAACACAATGCAGCACCATCTTTGATATGTGCATTTTTAAGACCTAAAAAAAAAAAAAAAAATGATCAATTGTATTGCATTACACTGATAATGACTTTATTTTACCATTAATTTCAACTGAGTTTTTAATAGCTTTCATGAGTGGAATGGGGGTAGGTTTAGAAATGCGATTGGATTTTGGTACAATGTTAACCAAGTTATAACTAGATCGGTCTGATACCCAAACTTTTCCAGTCTTACTATTGTCTGATGCCAACTAAAATTATGCACATAAAGAATTTTATAAATATAAATAATATTCAGTATTCACTTTTACATAATAATATAAATAAAAAAATATCAAAATCATACTTACAATATCATTAAAAAATGTATGTAGTTTATCATAAGGCTGTATAATGACTGACAAGTTTTCACTTTTAAAATGTTCTGATACTGTTGAATCTAGTTTTTTGTCATCAACAAATAAATGAACATCTGTGTGTGTGACAATTACATATGAATAAAATACTGGATTATACGTTATGTCAGATCCTCTCAAGTTTAATAACCCTGAAACCAAAATATGGAAAATTACACAATATATAGGAATGCATATATATTGTATACTGACATAAAACAGGGTAATTCTTTTATCATGAAATACTCATTATTTCAAAAGGTATTAATGTTTTTGAATATATTTTTTTACATAGTTTAAAGTTTTTAAAAAACAACATTTTTTAAATAAAATATATTTTAATTTTTTTTACCTTTTTGAACGATAACAGAGTTTTAATATCATATTCTAAAGCAGAATATTTTTCTAAGTATTTTGATTCATAAAAATTGAATTTAGGGGGAGTATTTTATGAGTAATAAGTATTTAAAGTTTAGATTGGTATAGTGGAGTGGTGCATAGAGGCTGTACGGGCTTACTCTTGCATAATGTTTGTCCACTACTCCGCTTGTCTAAACTTTTAATACTTAGAAGTTATAACTCATAAACTACTCACCTTAAATTCGTTTTTATGTATCAAAATGCTTAGAAAAATATTCGGCTTTGGAATATGAAATTAAAATTCTATGTTGTCATTTAAAAAGTTAAAAGTTAAAATAGTATAAGGATAAAAAATATTTAAAAATATGATTTTTTAATAAAAACATTGTCTTTTAACAACTTGAAATTGTGTAAAACATATTTTCAAAAACATTAATACATTTTGAAATAATCAGTGTTTCGTGATAAAAAAATCACCTTGTAGGTATATTATATCAAACTTTCAAAGTTATAATTAATTTTATGATGAATACATTAGTATAATATTAACACTTACACGCAATTTCATCAAGAGCAGTAACTAACAAAATAGTAGCATTTTTTTCAGTCATTTTCTGTCTAACTTCCTCAACCTTTTCGCCACATTTTTTTCCTAGAACAAGATAATAATTATTAATAACAACTACATATTTTTTTTATTTTGATTGAAAATAAAATAATAACAATAATAATAATCCATATTACCTGTAAATTTAATGTTTAACGGTTTAACTGGATTTGATGGAATAGCTGGACGGTCAGACCACATGCGATCTATGAGGTTGGTATCTAATGGAACCAAGTTAATGCCCTTATATTTTATTTCTTTATTGATTCTACGCCATTCACTGTATGTTATTAGATTAGCATCAACAGCAATTCTAGAACCAGCTTTCATATTTTTTGTTAGCCATTCAGCCAATGTACTTGTATCTGGTAGTCCTGAAACATATAAATAATTATGTAATTTTACATAAACAATTTATTGATTTTAAAAAACGATTAGATGTTGGATGTCTACACACAATTATTGTGAAAATAGTTTTTAGTTTAAATACGGTAAGAGTTTTGAATTAATAATGCTAAATTTTGAAATAATACACCATTTGATATTATTAACATTAATTAATATAGTATTATATAATTTATTATGAACAGGTATTGTAAAAGTATCGTTTTCAAGTACACTTATCTCAAATATAACACATTATTTTTACATAACATAATAATACAAAGTGTAAACATTTTTTTTATAGTATTAACCATTAGTCACATATACAATCTACAAAGACATTTTCATATAAACATTATCTTTGAAAGGTTAACCTTAAAAGCTTATCAAAACTTAATGGTCTGTATTAAAACCAGTAAGCACAAAAAATAAATATAATAAAATGAGAAAACAGTAGATTAACAGTTGGTTTTATTAATTACTTATATTGTAAATTTAAAAATAAGGAATATGTAATGTATAAAATATTTAATTGTGGGGTTTTTTTTCTTCAGTATATAAATTTTAAAGTGAGTTATATAACAAATATGACTGGAAAATATTACATTTCAAAAATGCTTATAACAGGGTTTAAATTTACTTTTTTTTTCTAGTGGTATGCTGTACAAAGCTCAATTTGGTAAAAATGAAATTTATGTCATGTTATAAAAGCTATGACTTCACAATTACATATTGTATACAAACAAAAATTATTATTTTTATATTTAAAATATTGAATGAAAAGACATTCAAACCCAATTGTAATTTCATTGAGAACGATAAGAGCACTGGAGCACATACTAGACATCAAACAATGGTCAGCCAGTTAAAATGTTCTTGCTATACAGTGGTAAGCAGTTGCGTACGTAAGAGCGAGAGGACATGATGTTATATACCACCCCTGGAGACCAACTTTTGTACACAATACAATATGAAGGGTTAAGGGGAAAAACGATAATAGTCAATATTCCTAAAATGTTCAGTATTGCAGTTTTAAAGTGGACTTTGGCCTTTTTTTCCCGGTATGGTAATATTAATTTAAACCTGTATTTTATCATTGACTGTGATCTTTTTTCCATAACTTAATTCACGTGTCAATTCATTATGAAACTAACCGAAAGGTACTATAATTATTTGAATTTATTTTTCTTTTGACTAGGATCGTTTTTTTCCCGTAACCCTTTATATGTATATAATAATAATATGAATATATGTGTATACTGAATATGTCTATTAAAATCTTTAAATTCTCCAGTGAAAAATTCTAGATTTGCTACTGGTGGTGGGGATAGTATCAATCGTTGACTGTCGACAGGTTGTTTATTTTTAATGGTCTGGAAGGGGGTAAAGGTACACAATTCAGTATTCTATATAAATTCTATATTTGATGTTGTGTTTAAGCAGTGTTTTTACTTTTAATTAAAGGTTTGTTATACCAACAAAATTAAATGTTAATTTGATGTTATATAAGGTAACAAATGTGGGTGTGGTGTTTTTTCAAAGATGGTTTTCAAATTTGTATCTTAAGTTTACTTAGGGTCATGATTATTCTATTCCTAATGACTAAGGCACTAATTATACCATTATAAGAATACATTTTTTTTTTAAACATTTATATAAATTTAAATATTCTCTTATCTCATATTAGGCTACCTAGTTTTTCCATTAATTTACTACTAGCCAATTAAAAACAATAACCAGTTTAACTAATATAAATATCTTTAATTGTACTGTTCTATATAATTTACATAATCATGTCAATTTACAATTAGAATTGTATCATGATTAAATGTTATGAACATACCTAATCATTTATTATTTGTTTTTTTTAAATATAGGTAGCTATTATTATACACAAACCCATTTTCATTAAAGTCCAATTATCATCTAATTGTTGTTGGGCTTGTACAAAGTAACGACCATCTGTCCACAATAAGGCCTCATTTTGTGTAATAAGAGCAACACCAGCAGAACCTGTAAAACCAGTGATAAAAGCTCGCCGTCCATCGCATGCAGAAATATACTCATTCTAAAAAAAAAAAAATGTTATAATAATATCATAGGTAGAGGTACAGAAATGGAAGTTTACTTGATGAGCATCTTCTGATAAAACAATATAACCTTGAATGGGTTCACCTAAATACTTTAACTTCATCAGGTCACGCAGTCTCGACAAAAGAGGTCCAGTACTACGCACTGCCATGATACTATTAACATTAATAAGCACACAAAGAATGTATAAATAATATATGATGTTAAATTTATAAAAATAAGAACAAAGCATAATAAATTAATAACAGTATAATTAATGGAAAATAAAAACAACAGGTTGTGTAATAAAAACTGTATGGATCGGAAATAATTTGAAATATTAGGTACAGATCAATCAGTCCACTAAGGTGAACAAAACTGAGTTAAATATGATGTCTGCTCACATACAACTTAGGTGCATCAAAAATACACAGAAGACCTTGTTACAATACCTGTTTGGGGACGTTTAAAATGTGTTGGAAACCTAGTGATGAGAATGTTGTTTCATATACGATTTCTAATACTATATATGTGACACAGTAAAAATAATACAACATAAAAGTTGGTCAAATTAAGCAATATCGGATGAAACAGCGGAAAATTACGTACCTTAATATTATGCTACGTTGTAATCTTGAGTACCTATTAAGTGAAAAAAATACACTTATGTATGAGCGGAGTAACAACTATTTCGTGTTTAGAAAACACGCATTAAATGTCGTCGTTGATTGGTAAACGAAAAAACAATAAATCGTAATTCGTAATGAATTATTTTAACTAATAATATAATATATAAACGTAAAAAGTGAAACTGTTATCGTCACCGTTTCGTCGACGCCGTAAAATCTTATCACGCGCGTTATCGGTCCACTGCCAACAGCACGCAAAGTGCGCATGCCCGAGAATGAATGAATGCCGACCACACCATATACCGCGTACAAGTGCTTGGACCGGGTCGACCGCATACCAACACTGCACGACGTCAACACTGCAGTAGATAAAAAAGCGTTTTTTAGTTTTTTTTTTTTTGATACTTCGATGAGTGTTTTGTTTTGGAAATGTGTAAAAATGAAGACGGGATTGTAATTAAAATTCGCAGCGGTCTAGATCGTCGAGAGTGATCCGGGTGTGACTCGGTGACCGTTGGTGCTCAATCCACAGGATACAGGTAATTTATACGGTTTTTTATTTTGGTAAAATTTCACAGAGCCTCAATGAGGTTATGCAGCGCTGGTAGTTCTGAGTTCATAATACAATCGATTTGATTACAAGACATAGGCACTGCGTTTACGTGCGCGCGCTTGTCTGCGTGTGTATGTAATGTTTGTGTGTTTATTTTTTTTTCTCCGAACGTAAGTGGGATCGAGATCGGCCTTCAAAATATTCCGATGCAATTATTATTATTGGGTTTCCGCGGTCCTTAAATTATCACGGTTTGATCCCTCGAACGCATGTTTTAATTGAGTAAAATTACGATCGGGTAGCAGTGTCTTTTTTTATCTCCAGTGTTTGGAGAAATATTGCGTGCGTTCTTCGTTGCTTCGATATAAACGAACATCAGGAAACATGGCCGAGGTTAAACCCGCCGCCACCAGTCAACAACAACCGATCGTCAAAATAGGTCATTATATACTTGGACAGACACTCGGCGTTGGTACGTTTGGCAAGGTGAAAATTGGTGAACATCAGCTCACCAAACACAAGGTGGCTGTCAAAATACTCAATAGGCAGAAGATAAAAAGTCTGGATGTTGTTGGGAAAATACGTCGAGAGATTCAAAATCTTAAACTCTTCCGTCATCCTCACATCATTAAACTGTATCAAGTTATCAGCACGCCTACTGATATATTCATGATAATGGAGTATGTATCTGGTGGAGAACTATTTGATTATATAGTAAAACATGGTAAACTTAAGGAATTTGAAGCTCGTCGTTTCTTTCAACAAATCATATCTGGCGTTGACTATTGTCATAGGCATATGATTGTACATAGAGATTTGAAACCAGAAAACTTATTATTAGATCACAATCTACATGTTAAAATTGCTGATTTCGGCTTATCCAACATGATGATGGATGGAGAATTTTTAAGAACAAGCTGTGGATCACCTAACTATGCTGCACCAGAAGTTATTTCAGGAAAGTTGTATGCTGGACCTGAAGTAGATATTTGGTCGTGTGGTGTTATTTTATATGCATTATTATGTGGTTCTTTGCCTTTTGATGATGAACATGTCCCAACTTTATTTCGAAAAATTAAATCTGGTATCTTTCCTATACCAGATTATTTGAACAAATCTGTTGTTAGTTTACTATGTCATATGTTACAAGTAGATCCAATGAAAAGAGCATCTATTGAAGATATTAAAAAACATGAATGGTTCCAGCACGAGCTACCTGCATATCTTTTCCCTTCACCAGTTGACCGAGACTCTTCAGTGATTGATACAGATGCCGTTAATGAAGTTTGTGAAAAATTTAGTGTAAAAGACTCTGAAGTTCACAATGCTTTATTAAGTGGTGATCCACATGATCAATTAGGTATTGCCTACCATTTAATAATTGATAATAAACGAATAGCCGATGAAGCAGCTAAAGCGGAATTAAAAGATTTTTATATTGCTAGTAGTCCACCTCCAACAGGAGGAAGCCTGGAGCCATCAGCTTTAAATGCAGTTGTAAAACCACATCCTGAAAGAATAATATCTCAAAGAGAACGTGCTCAATCTATAGACCAAGGGGCTAGAGGATCTCCAATGAAAAGAGCTAAATGGCATTTAGGCATAAGATCTCAAAGTAGACCTACAGATATTATGAATGAAGTATATAGAGCAATGAAAGCTTTGAATTTTCAATGGAAAGTAATAAATCCTTACCATGTTCAAGTACGACACATGAATCTAAAAACTGATAATTATATTATGATCTCACTGCAACTGTATCAAGTGGACTACAAAAGCTATTTGTTAGATTTTAAGAGTTTAACAAATGATCAGTTAGAAAATGGAAATTTACCTCCACCAACTTTAGAAGTTGAAAATCAATCTCCAAGGCAAGATGTTGTTGCACTACCACAAAAAAAGTGCTCAGGACATCATACAATGGAGTTTTTTGAAATGTGTGCATCTTTGATTACCCAACTTGCCCATTAATTAGTAAATACAAGTATCTATTTGTAAGAGTATTTATTTTAATTATTTAATGTAAGTTTATACCAAATTGTTAAAGAAGTAAATATAATCTTTGAGAGCTGTTAGTGGTTTTTGTTGTACCTATAAATGTCTCATTATATTTATATGTATAAACATTTTGCATCATAAAGTTTATGGTAAAGTGAACTTGACCAATTTATACTTTGTCCAGTCTATCCCACTAGAGAACATACTAGATAGTACATGTAGAGTGAGGTTTGTTGATCTACTATGATGTCTTATCCCCCTAAATGTGACCATACGTCATTACATCTTCCCGTATACCACCCTCACATTCTATCAAAATTCAATGAAACGCATTATAGGCAACATTGAAATGCGATATTTACTGTAGCCGATAACTTCTCTAGGGGGACAGACTTTAGTAAGACAACATTTGAATGATTCTATACCTATATATTATATGATTAGTCCAATAATTGTATGAACTTTTATTTCAAGATTTATTCATATTATTTTTGTCTTGAGAGAAATGTAGTTGTATATAAATCTTAAATTTTAAATAATTAGATAAGATATCCTAATATGTATTTTTATAATTTATACTTGAACGTTAATATACAGTTAAAAGCTTTATGTTAAAATTTTTAAATCATTTAAAATTTTTCAACCTAAAATAAAATCAATTATGTATTGTGATTTTTAGACATGTAAAGAATGAAGAAAAACAACAATTTAAATACATTGTTTATTTTATTAGAAGTATATAGTTCATTATTTTTATATAACAACATAATTTTTACTGTGCTTCGATCAAGTAAGATTGTAATAGTTACTCAGTGATAAGTCGTCAATTGTTAATTAAATTTTAAAGGTTTTCAATAAATAATTTATTAAGTTATATTTTTTGTCACTCTTATATTTACTTTTAGTCAATAAAGAATAAAACATTTTAAAGACTCAATTACAAAAAAACATTTTTTGTTATAACTTCCGTATACTATATTTTGTCTGCTTACAAAATTGGATACATTTGAAATATAGTATCCTAACTAATTAAGTTTGGATCAAAAATATTGTATAGTGTACTTATAACTTATAAATAATTATTCAACTGATTACCTATATATTAAACTTAATTAAATCTTTAAGATGTGGTTTTTTTAAATGGTCCTAAACCTCAAATTTTATATATAAAATGTATAATTACATAATATTAATAATATATTTGTATGTATTGTTTTATTTTGTAGGAATATTTTTTTTTTACAATAAAATTGTTCTATTATAATTATTTGTTTTGAATTTCTTAAAATATATTTATTACTTTATTTACTTAATATTAAGTATCAATGTTATAAGGTATTCTTGTGACAATCAATTAATACTAATGAACTTCATTAAAAACACATTCCATTTTCCCATTGACCAATTATTATGGTAATAGATCATTTAATATATTTTAATAATTATTTAATTTTTATTTAAAAAAAAAAAAATCTATTATTAATAGTTACATTTTTAGGATTTTTCCATTACTAAATAAATAGGCATGATTTAAAAAAAAAACGTTTTCATTTGGTTCGCACATCTCCCCACCATTTTACACACAAAACCATTGCTCATAGTTTTCAACATTTCATTGGTCGGCAATGTCAATAGGATATTATCAAGGGTTGTATGCGTACCACAAAGTTATAAGTTTCATATCTATTTATTTAGTCGTAGATATTTCTATATTTTTGTATATGAAATAATGTATGATCAAATAAAGAAAGAGAACCTACATTATTAGGACATCACATCCACATGACGTATTTTCTCCATCTTCCAATAACATACTACATATTATAGAACATTTACAACATCAATTTTTTGATTTAAACTTTAATGTTAGAGGTAATTGACTAATAATAATAATATTGTCTATGCTTGTACTTTATTTTTTTTTTGTACAGTTTTGCAATTTTTAAGAAAGTTGAATTATGTAAAATTTTACAATTTATTTAAATATTCTCATAACTTACTTAAAAATTGAAATGTAATAAATATGATAATGTTCTTACCTTTATAAGTGGTAATAAGCCAATTCACTCTAATATTAAATCTAACAACGTAAAACTGGTTCTGCTGAACATAAGTGTATGTTGACATGTTGTACATACTAATTTTTTATTTTGTAAGTAGTGTGATTTAATATTTTTATCACCTAAATGCTCATATTATTTTGTTATAAAGATCTTACAAATGCATAATATAGCGAGTTTATATTTAGCAGAACTCGGTTGGTTTTGTTGATTTAAATATGAGATTGTATTGACTATAATTTTGTTAGTTTTTTTTCATTTTCATATTTTAATTTTAAAGTGAGGTAAATATTTTTAAATTGTAATATTTTACCTACCAGTAAGTTAAAAATTTCAAAGTTAAAATATTTTTTTAAAAAACCAACGATAAAAATGGATAATATTCTCTTATATCAAATTTAATAATAGATAAATTCCACTAAATTAATTCTGCTGAATGCAAATAATTTACTATGTTATGTTTGTAAGACAGAAAAAAATAACAGTATAATAGCATCTTATTAACTATTCATTGCTCAGCTTTCTAAATATTTTATTTATGGAATACTGACAATTTTATTTAGTTGAAATTATTATATTATTTTTCAAACAAATAATTAAATTCCATCAACAGTAAATAAAAGTGAATCATTAGTTTTCATTAAGTAATTACATTTTATAGAGTTTGATTTAAGTAAATAATTCTTAATAGTTTAATGCCCTATTGGCTATTATACATTTATACTATTGTGCATTTGTACTTGGGTCTAGTTTGGAAAGTAGGTAGGTGAAATACAGAATGTTACAGGAAGACCTGATAGATAAAATAACTTTTGTTCTAATCAATATTTTAAATTTTTTTATATACAATATAATTTAGTTCCTTGAATAACACGTATAATAAAAAAATATTTATTTTTATTTTTTAATACCTACTGAAAATTCCAAAAAAAAATTTGGTAAAATTCAAAAAAGCTGATTTGTAAATCTGATTATAAGAACAATTTTGATGGTAAAAACATTTATCTAAGTCAAGTAGTTTATTTTTAGAATTTTTTTGAGTAAATTAATATAACGTAATAACTTTTTTCAAAATATAATTTTTGGGAATTTCCTGGCTTACCTAAGTATATTTCCTAAATTAATTATGAACTATATAATTTCCACAAATTTGTCATACATTTAAGTAGCATCTTTTTTTTTTTACCAGGTTTTCCTGTTATACCTTATAAATTAGGAAAATTTGTCAATTATCACCTAGTGTAGTAATTACAATTTTCATTTTATGACTAAAAAGGCAAACAAAATAAATGTTAGCTTGAGTATATATAAATGCTTAACACCTTACTGAACTATATATATAATTAGAGTTATGCTTGCTGCATGTATTCAGGTGTTTGTGTATTTGATTAAAATATTAAACAAACATTTCAGTGCTCATACATATTTTATATGGGTTTTAAGTAATTTAGGGAAAACGTTATACCTCATTTAATTTATAGGATATTCTATGAAATATTATTATTAACTCATCACATATTTCTTTGATGGTATGCTTTGAGTGCAGTAGCGCATTTACAATTTTTTCAAGTGGGGACGTACAATTTTTAATAAACATTCAGTATACACATATTATTACATTCATATTATTATTATATACATGTTGTATTGTGTTGTAAGTGTATAACTATGACTATGATTATTATTGTAACAAAACATCCAATAACAATCCAAATTTAATATAGTTCTGGATCAAAAATAGTTAATTTTAATGTATTCATTTTATGTTCATTATACCAATATTTATTATTAAAAATTTAATTGCAAAGATATATCACATGGGATTTTCAAAGGACATCACAACACTTAAAACAAGTTTGCTTATATTTAAAGTATGTCATTATCTAAGAAATATGGTGTGGGTACCTACACTTAAATACTAATTATTCAATGAGATACAGTCGTTTGAAAATATGCGTGTGACGTCATAGAGCCAAAGTCTGAACGGTGGTGTTTGTTTTACGTCTATAAGTGTCTAGATTAACACAACAAATTCAAACCTTAAAGACAATATTTTTTAATTTTTTTTATGTAACCTTTAGTATTTTTTTGTATTTATGACACTGGTATAATTATAGTCAGGGCCGGACTGGGCATTACATTACACTATTCACAATACAAAAATATTGTAAAGGAAGTTCTCGAGTACCAAAAAACATAAACATTGTTTTCGGTCACTTGCGTTTTCAATGTATAAAAATATTATTGTCCAAATATTACCCTATTATTAATATAGATATTTTTGAAGTATTTGCTATAGTTACTGCTATAGTTTTTATTCAAGTTTACCCTATTGGTATTATAATATTTGTGTTAAGAATTCTTATATGAAAAAAATTTTTTTTTTGGATCTGAATATTAACACTTAGTTCTATCCATGATGTAAAAGCTATATATGCCTTAGAGAATTGTGTAATTAGTGTTTTTAATTTACTTCATTTGGTTAATTTACATTTGCCTACTTATTCTAATTTATATGCCACCATGGAATATGTACTAACCTTATCGGTATCTCAGGTTAATTGTGAACGAGTAATTAGCAAATTAAAAATTATCAAAAATCGTCTACGTGCTTCATTAGATGACCGCTTAGATGCTTTTTTATTAGGGCCGCTTTCACCACTACTTTAAACTCCGATTAAAGTTAAACCGGGGTTTAATCGGCCGAATTTGCCCGGTTAAATATCTGTTATCAGTCGATTAAGCGTAATCGAAGTTTAAAGTATTTGGTGAAAGCGGCCCTTAATGTCTGTAGAAAAAGATATATTAAATGATTTAGAGTTTGAAGATATTTTGGAGTTTTGGAAATTATTAAAAATTCAAATTATCATACTTTATCTAAATTATTATCGTACATATAATTACATAAATATATAATTTATAAGATTTAATTGATTAATTTGTCATACTGGTACTTAGTCTAACAGATGTATACCCATATGTATATTGATATATTTTACATTTTCTTTCTAACCAACATAAAAGTTCCTAAATCATAATTCTTGTACTACGTACTATACCATTGAGATAAAAAAATTGTTGTTAGTTTAAGTTGGGCTGATAAATGTAGGAGAATGGGCCGGTTGTTTACAGAAAATAGTGGGCCGAAACCCTTCCAGTCCGGCCCTGATTATAGTTTAGATATACTTTCTAGTTTTTTTATAGTAGATGAAACTATTATAGTAAATTTAGTAAAAATTGGTTTATACGACAATACAACGCAAGTTGCTAACTCAATAATTTTACTTAATTATAACTTATAATAATTAATATGTATGCAATAACAAGATATATTCAATTTTAAATCACTCCATCATCTTAAGCACAAAAATATAATTGGGATAACAAAAAAAAAAAATTCTATACTATTGTAAGTTATAAAATTCATATTGTAAATCAAACTACTTTTACATGTAAAGCAATGGCGGCTGATCACTTGTCGGCTCTATGACGTTACTTGGCTATTCATCAACTTTCATTATCTCGCTGAATAATCATTATTTTAACTTTGGATTTTAACCAAAACATTTTTCATTATTTGAACTACAGTAATTCACCAATAAACTAAAAATTAAAAAAAAATTAATGTTACGATGTCTTTTAACAAAACTTTTTAGGGTTTAGGGTTAACTTAAATGACTTTTCTGGGTTTAAAAATATTACCCTTTCATTAATTAATACGTATTAGTTATTATAAAATGTTTTTTATCATAATTATTTTTTTTTATAGATATTGTGTGATAGGGAGAAGTGGTACGGGGGTAGGGGGTACAAAAAGTAGGGAAGGGCCAAAAAATGTTGGCCCCCTTATGGAAAAATGTCTAGCTAAGTGCTTGAACCACATGTTCGCAGTTCTGTACCTTATTGAAATTTGAACTACAGAAATAAACTAATATTCTATTTAATTCAATATTTGTAAATCCGACAGGTATAAAGTATTAAAAAAATATAAATTACTGTTAACATAGGTTCTCCAACTTTGAATTGTTCATAGTTATAACCAGGGCTCGGAACTTTATGCATTTGCATCTTTCTCAGGAAGCTGCATATTTCAAATCTGATTCGATACAAATTCGTTTCATGAACCATACAGTTGAAATACAAAAGTTGATGTTGCATATTTTTGCATATTTTACCAAATTTATATGATTATGCATATTTAAAGATTTTGAGTATATAAATGCATTTTATGGTAAAAATTTATAAGAAATCAACAACAAACAAGTTTTTGATAATTGAATATTGTAAATTAAATAATTTAAAAATAAATAGCCGCCTAGTCTATATTTGCCATGCTATCAACCATGCTCGCCCGCATGGTTTATAGTGTTTTTACTAAGAAATAAGAATTGGCCGTTACTCTTATCGTATAATATTACGAAAAAATTTGTGATGTTGTAAATATGTTGGACTCCAATGATGCTTTAAGTATTAAAGTTTCAAAAAAAAATTTGGTAAAAGAACACGTTCAAAATAATTTGGTGTATATTACTTCAAATTTTAAAGTTCTTTCTGAATTAATTTTGAAACTGCAGACAAAAAACATGCCTTTAGCTGAATCGTTGAGTATCGTGGACAATGTTCAAACACAATTAAAATCCGTTCAAGGTGAACCAGGGAAAAAAGTCTATGAAAAAATGGAAAATGTTTTGTCTAAAAATATCGGTTTAAAAACATTGAAACAAATCTCGTCAATACTTAGTGGATCTATCTCCACCATGGATGGTCTTCCCGAAGATCTGACAACAAATTACCTTATTTTCTACAAGTACGCTGTACGCACCAATTACGTCAGTGGATGTCGAAAGATCATTTTCTGTTTACAAAAACCTTCTGAGCCACAACAGACGATCATTTATACTTGAAAACATAAAAAAGCATCTTATCATTCAGTGTAATTCAGGTAAATATAACAATGAATAGCTAACATGATTTAATAATCGCTGTGTTTGATAAATTCTATTTTTTTTAAATTTAGGACTCTGGGAATAGATCCAGTATAGAACAGCTTCATTATCAAAAGAAAGATACAAATAAAATAAAAAAAAAATTTTGTTTCTATAATTATTAATTATGCTTTTAAATACATCTTTTATAAAATAATAAATGCATATTATACCGCATATTTTGGTTTTTTTTAGTGCATACGTATGCACATATTTCATGGTTTTTTAGCGCATAAAGTTCCGAGCCCTGGTTATAACTTATAAGATTCATACTTATATAGACTGCAAGATTTAAAAACAATAGTAATGTTTAGTTCAACGTAAAAAAAAAACATAAACGTTATTTGTAATTTTTTTATGTTATTTATATGTTTATTGTTTATTTTTAATCATTAATTATGATTTATGGTATATTATGATTTATGTTTGATGATATTAGAATATTTTTGTTTTTCATTTATTGATTTTGTTTATTTTTTTTTTCATTATTTTCCGTTATAACGTTTTGAAGCCCTGATTTTTTGATGATAACATAATTTTAATTTCAACCTTAACACATTTATATTATATTTTTATTCGCTCCCTTTATTTCTTCAAATATTTTACTTTTAGAAATAATAAAAAATTTATTACTTCCTATGTTAACATTTTAATATATTAGGTAGGTACTATGTTCTTTTTATACTACTGTGTAGTATGCAGTTTACAATGAAGCAATGCTGTAAATATAATAATATAACTGTTTGAAAGTGACAACAATTTTTTATTAATATTTATGACAATACATTTTTAACTAACACATTGATAATGTTGAAAATATTACATACGCTATGGCTAAGATAACAAATTATTGAAATAGTCCAGATTGGAGTAAAAATCTATTTTACTAATAAATAATATTTTTAATGCCTAATAAATATGATATTACGGTGGATTGAATTTCATAAAAACAATAATAATTATTAGTGTTTATAATTAATATTGTATTTTTCTATTTACTTAAAATTAATATATGTTTAATAATTTCTGTATATTTTAATGTTTAGGATGCCTACTGTGGATGTACCCGAAATCCGTGTAAAAACGGCTTTCAATGGGTAAGTTAATATATAATAATATATTTTTTGATTAACTAGGAAATTAGTTACTAACATTTAAAATATTTGTTTTAGGGAAGTTATGATTACTTATATAGATCCAAAAATAACTGTCGAGCAACTGCGATACGAAATGATGGTTATTTGTCGGTTTTCATCTGATCAAGATTTCACAATGAAATGGGTTGATGAAGAAGGTAATTCAATTGCTTTTTATATTATATTGTTAATATATAATTTATGTACTTTAATATATTAATATATATTAGTTTAAAAACAAAAAGAATTAAAATTATGGCACTTCATATTAATTGATCTGTTTTCTTCTTATTAATTTTTTTTTCTAATAAAATTATAATAAAAAATAATCTTTAATAAAAGTATAATATATTTGTAAACATTATAATGCCAAAAATATTTTAAGGGGAGGTCATAAATGTATTATGTTTAATGTCACTTTACAGACATGAAATATCATTAATCTTTGATCAGAATCAACAATTTTTTGTTGTTAGCTTTAATATTTGAGTAAATTGATTTACTATCAAACTTTAAAGTATAAAATTATCTGTGTTTATACTTTATACATTGGTTTTTACAATACATACATTTTTAAGCATGTGATATATTGCAATTTAAAAATGCTCATAACTCACTAAAATTTAGAAACTGTAAAAATACTGGCTCATAGATTTAGATAATATTCTTGCCTCAGAGAAGCCACACCCGCCATATTGTCTCCGTGTTAAAAACATACAACATAGCAAATGTACATCTTTGCAATACCTTCTATTAAACACGTATATTATATTATAATGATTATAATAAATAGAAGAAATAAATATTGTCTTTATTTATTTTGTTTATTTTGGATTTCAATAAGTAAACTTTTTATGTATAAATATCAAATATGGCATATTGGTAATTTGAGTTTCAAACCACTGCCCTAGATAATAATCTTACTTTTAAATTCATTGTATAATGGGTCAATTCTCTCTAATTTTTAAAATAATGGTAACATGAATTATTGTGTACGAAAAATGTTCCATATTGCATATTTATGGAAGACCCTGAGACAACACAATATATGGGTGTGGCGTCTTCTTAAGTAACAAATATAATTGGTTCAGCGGAACGCAAATTTGTACATATTTTAAATTTATAAGATAGAACCAAATCATGTGAGTGTGGCATTAAAAAGTATGTAGCTTTATTGATTAATAATAATTATTCACTGGAAATATGTAAGTGTTGATATTTAAAAATTTCATGTTTGTCATTTTGTTGAGAAATGCCTTTATTTTGAAAAACGAGTAATAATCTATACACACAACATGCACGATATGTTTTTGCTGCAGGATCTGCATTTTAGGGGAAGCTAAAATTGTTAACAGCCATCAAGTATAGTAGACCAATATGTTTCAAACTAATTAATCCTCATCCCAGGCTCTTTTAAAAAATATTTTAATTAGATATAAAATTGACCGATTGTTATTTACTTTTTTGGTTTATTTTTCTCTATGTATATAAATACTAAAGTACAATTTATTTAATAACAACAAAAAGTAAAAGCAAACATATGCCTGGCCTGGCGTTGCGCGGTGGTAGCCCACAGTCACAAATGTGTGCTGCGGGTCAAGCACCGACCAACATTGCTGGATCTTGGATCGATGACTACCGAGTTCTTGACGACAAATCCTTGCCCCACATAAAAATATGTGTTCCTCAACCAAACTTAACCCCTTTAAAAGCTAATGGCCATTGTTGCAGAACCTAAAAGACCAATAATAAAAATAAAAAAAACACATGTAGTTTCTATATTATTTCCAAACTATTTTTCTTGTTTTTACTCTGTGCAACTAAAACTATCTGATTTGAAGTTATTTGTAATATCTTGTTGAATATTTACAAAAAGATATATCATTGACCTATTGTTACTAATATTATTTATTAGTGATAAACCAAACCATATTGGCATATTGCTCTTATGATATTATTAAAATGTCAGGAATCAGGATCTGTATCATCTGTTTAACCATGATCTGTATCCAACCAACTCAATAGTCATTAGTCATTCAGTAGCGTCATTTCAGTTTTTATTAGACTAGGGTAACTTTTCACTGCTTATCCGATTCAACATTTTTTTCACTCAGATTCTCATACTATAGTGCATTAGTGCCATAGCGGTTAAGGGTGATGGTGGGGGGAGGGTGGTAAATGTGTCAACTTAAGGTTGATGTAAATACTAGACTGACGCAAATGCCCCAGTGACGCCACTGTAGTTATTAGTCATTACCTATTCATTTATCAATTTATCATTATTCATTAGTTCCTAATTTTCCATGAATAGTAACTTTAATGTATTATAATTATTGATAGTAATTTTTTTTTTTATTCCTAACTTTAATTTTTCGACTTATCAGGTATGTATGACTGTATGAGGTATCATAATCAAAATATGGACAACTTCAAAACATTCATCAAATCTAATGACAATTACAATATTGTTATATGTCGCGAAATGTATTTCTAAACTGATTTATATTCAAATGAAAGTATTACACTTTTTAGGTTAAATTTATGACGTATTTAATGTCATTATAATTAAAATCTAAAGCAAGTAATTCCCTAAAAATGTTTTTGCTCTAGCACGTGAGAAGATATGCAATAAATATATTTTTTGCATGTATTAAATATTGATGATAAAAATAATAAACATCACAAATTAAAATAGATAAGTTGTGTGTACCTATATATCCAACATTAATAATTTTAAATTTACAATTGATTTTTTTTTATCAATGTTGACCGTATTATTATAAGACTTAAGCAGTTAAGCGTGTTTAAATAAAATATAACTTGTTTGGACTGTCATATATATTTTTATATTTAGGGGATCCGTGTATATTATCTACTCAAATGGAATTAGATGAAGCCGTACGATTATACGAACTCAATAAAGATTCCGAATTAACGATACACGGTAAGTCCAACACCCCCCCCCCCCCCACACTTTCCAGTTTCCACTAATCAGTAATCACTCGACAAATTTAATCAAATTCTTTCCAATGTCCCTTGACACATAGCCGCATAGGGTATTATTTTCAACGAAAATAATCTTGATGTATGGGTATTATGTATAATAGCAATAATGTGCATGTTAATGGTACTCAAAATTTAAGTCTCTCGTTGTCGTTAGCCAAACGCGGCAAAACTGCAACTAAAATATATTATATAACCTTATTATTTGTGCCGCTCTCACCCCCTCAGCAATCGTGTCCCCACCACCTTCCGGTTAGGTACATCGTACATGGGTCACGGGTACCCCTTGAACAGTTGTGGCGAGGGTGTTAGGAATCAGGCGGGATACCGCCACTACCCCTACGATGGCTTAGAGAACGGGAGGAGCCGGGGGAAGTACCGTACGTTACGGCGGATTCGGCGCTCTAGCGTTTTGATTTTAGGGTGGAACCTCCGTACGGCGGCCAGTGGTACAAGAAGTGCTTGTTGTGTCTCCAAAAAGCTCAATACACATCGCGTTGTGGTTTATTATGTCGACGGTAAAAATACTAATTCGTTCGTTATGCGTTCGGTGTGATGACAATAATAATTGTTGAAAGCAAACAGTTTCGCGCTACTCTTAGGGCGTCGGTGCAGTAGGTTTTTTCTGCTACTATTATTATTATTGATTTTTCAATTTGTCGTCGGGTTGATGAATACTTTCGCGTATCGCGTACAACGTGTCCGTTCGTATTTTTGTGACGGGTTGTGCGTTTACGTATTCGTTGATAACTTATCTAGATTATCTAATTAATGTTAATTATTTACACGCGTTTGACATTTTTGTTTAAATTAAAACATACTTATACTTAGCGAAATCTAGTGACTTTATCTACTATATTTATTTATTATATATATCATCATCAATAATAATAAACTTGCCACCCATGTTCATCCAATTGTTTGATTGTTGTCACAATGAAATTGACGTTCATGGATGATCGGATCGATTATTATTAATACTCTATTCTAGTTTATTTATCTTGAGTCATTAGTCAATTATGTGCAAATATTTCTTTTTTTTAACATATACTCACGAATTAATAATACATTTCTAAGGGGCAGTAATTACTGTTTTATTTTCACTTGCCCGTTAACCATATTTTAATATCTAGAAAAGTTTTCCTGACTCGTTAGAATTTACGTTTTACCTCATTTTTAATTCGACAAACCTAATTATACTTATTTTTGAACACATCTTTTTTGTGTTTTATAAGAGTTAAAATAACTTTTTGAACTTAAAATAAGTAAAAAAGAATTAGTCTATTATGGCTTGGGGCTACTGGAGCGCATCTACTGTTTCTGACCGAGGCAAGTCACCAAAACGACAATCGTCATCTTTGGGTTTTTATAACCATCATGTACCTATTTCCACCCCAGCTCCTCCATCTACATCTTACTACCAACATCAGTCCTTGCACAGCACTAGTAGTTTTGGTTCCATAGAAGATGATGATTATCATCACACATCCACATTCTACCGTCGTCCTTCACTTGGAGATATAGAATTCACAGGGCCGGGTTCATTATCCCTATTATTAAATCAAGCTATTCCTCCTTCTCGACCTAGAACACCACCACCACGTCATTTATATGCTCCACCTACTTCGCTAAGTTTGCCGGATTCGTGTGGATCGACAATGGCTATGCGACAAAACATAAATTGTTTTGGTTACCAATCTACTCCTATTGTACAACATTATCCTTGCAGTGTTCATGACCCATCACCATCTCCTTCTATATCTGATGATGAAGACCATGTTTACGCCACAGGTAACAAATATAATGGTAATGTTGCCAAAAAAATCATAATCGTTTGTAAATATACGGATATGTTGTGTGTGGGTGTGTATGCGTGTATTCATGTGTAGTAGTAGTAGTAGCTATATTAGTGGACAGTTAGTAAAGTATTTAATTAGTAGTAATTCTAATTTATTATTATTTGACAATAATTAAATTTACTTGTGATAATATTTAATATGATATACTTATACTGGGTTATATTATATTAAACTAATTTAAATAAAAACTATGCACTTAATGGTTTAAGTATATTATATTAAATATTTTGCCCCTAATTTTTTGTTTTGACAAATTTGGTATAGTTTAAATTGCTGGTTTGTTGGACATAGAATTAAAGTTTGAGTTCCATTAAGCACAAACTATGCATGTTAACAATTAAATTATAACTAAATATATTTTGATATTAATATACTAAATTATGGTTGAGTATTGTATATAAATTGTGGCTGTCGTGCAAAAAAATTTGAGATTTGTATTACTACATAATTTTTGATTTTTTGCATAATGGCAACTAAGTTGTAATTTGAACATGGTAAAACGGACCAGGTGAAATAATTAAATAATTATGGAGTTATACAATTTAAAAATAAAATCTTAAACATTTTGACTTGGTCATTTTTTGCATGACGGCGACAAAATAGATTCATGTTTAAATTTGAAATATAATTCTTCTGAATATATTTTGCTCAGTATATAATATTTAATATAATAAGCATAGAATTATCATTTAAAACATCTATTGTAAAATTCAGGACATTTACAGAAGGTACAAATCAGACATTACTATGAAATTCTTCATTTTATATAATACATGTATGAGTTACATCTATTTGTATCAATATTTAGTACCTTTTTTAAATATCATGCCTGAAATTCAAATAATAAGACCAGATTTTATAATTATTGCTCTTATTCTATTTGGAATGTGTGAGATAGTAGACTAATTTATTTGAAATTAATATTTGCAATACATAACGTTTCTTAAATGACTTATAATAATATCATATAATAATTGTATCATTTATCATTGATATTTTTCTTTAGTTTTTCCTAATGTACCACAAGCACCAGGGATGCCTTGTCAAGGAGAAGATCGTAAGTTTATGAATTTAAAATATTTAAAAAAAAAAAATAGATAAAATAGGTATAGATTTTTATCCTATTATGAAAAAAATAAATTGATAATTTTCAGGTAGTATATACAGACGTGGGGCCAGAAGGTGGAGAAAATTATATCGTGTGAATGGACATATTTTTCAACCTAAAAGGTTTAACAGGGTATGTGTAATAAATAAATTGTATTCATTTTAGTGTTGCTATATTCCATTTTGAGATGATGAGCTAATTTAAAACTGTCTTTTTTATTATTAATTAGACTTGTGAGAATTACTCTATAATTAAATTTTATCAAATTATTTAAAGTTTTTAAACAACGTACATCTAAAGAATATTGTAATTTACTATATAACTAATTACAGTAGGTGCTACTGACTACATTTGTGTTATTGAATCAGTATAATATAGTTTACAAATGTATTATTCTTGAGTTAATACAAAATAAAAATATTCTCAGTTAAACATTGAAGAATTCACTTGTATTATTTTATATGTTATTAAGCAATTAATGTATTTTAATAGTTTTAAATTACATTAACTATATTTTCCATTAGAAAGAGGTCTAAGGTTATTAAGTTTTTATGTGTATCTGTATACAATAAAAATAAGATAAAACGTATGTTGACGTTTAATTAAATATCAACTAGTTATTAAAAAATAGTAATAATAATTAATTTTAGAAGGCTATATATGGTTTCTTAACAAATAAGATAAGTTTGAATATTATGTTCTGCGTTCTTTATTTTAAATACTTATTCATTGGTTTTTAATAAAATTATTAAATATGGGAATATTTTGCAGTTGTTCTACTAAATATCAAGTACATGACAATAATTTAGTATGTAATAGTAATGGTGATGTTAAACACTTTGTTTCAATTTAATGTGCTATGTTACTATACAATTATTAATTATTTCTAATTAATTATTATTATTTTTGTATAATCAGCGAGCATTTTGTGCATACTGTCATGATCGAATTTGGGGATTAGGACGGCAAGGATTCAAATGTATTCAATGCAAATTGCTTATCCATAAAAAATGTCATAAGCTAGGTAAAAAAACTTGCACCAATGATCCTATAGGTAATGAAGACACCAATGGTGACTCACAGACGTCTCTAAGTAATTATAAAAATATATTTTATTGAAATTATAATGTTTATTTCATATTGTTCCATATTTCCATGTTTAGGTACACCTAGCTCTGATACTGCTTTACCGGATTTAAAAGAATATTCTGATCAAAATTCTGTTATTGATCAATCAGCTGATTCTGTACCCATTGAAGATCCACAAGCTAAAAGTAATATTTCGTAATAATATTGATACAATATAATTTAATGTTAAATTATATTTATAGCAGGTGATGAAGATGTTGGAGTTTCACGTCAATATTCTATTGCCGACTTTGAGCTAATTAGGGTTATTGGTCGTGGAAGTTATGCGAAGGTGTTAATGGTTGAACTCAAAAAAACAAAATGCATCTATGCTATGAAAGTTATAAAAAAAGCACTTGTTACAGATGATGAAGTAATTAATATATTTTAATTTATAATAGCTAAAAATCATAATATATATTGATATTAAATAAACAAGTACACAGTATATTTATTTACTACCAAACATTGAATTGCTATAATAAGTGCAATATTTTTTTGAAATTAAAGCACTATTTATGTTACCTTATGTTTGATTGTCAAACAACACCCAATCATCTAACATAATATGTCCCTTTTATTGGTGATGGGCATAATTGAATGATTAGTAATCAAGACATTTTCATATTCAAAAAAATGTCTTGAAAAATCACTCAAAATTAAAATTATTTGTTCATTTGATAAAAACAGTCGACCATTTATACTCATCGAAAGAATCGAAAAAAATTACTCAAAATATGAACATACTCATAATGTCCATCACTACTTTTTATAAACAACATTTCTTCTCAGTTTGTTAATATCTAACTATTATAACTTTTATATCTAATATTTTTATTACTTAATTCTGTTCATAAATTGTAAATAATAACATAATTACAAACTAACCATTTTTGTATGAATCAATTTGTACTCTGTGAAATCAATAATTTATCAATATTTTGAAATAAAATATGCACTCTACCAAACGGCACTTTCTTATGTGTTATTAGTGTTTATATAATAAAAATATATCTTACTATGATTGTGATATCACAAATATAATATAATTGGTTAATTTAATAGTACATATAAAATATTTATTATATATTTTTTAATTTTAGGATATTGATTGGGTACAAACAGAAAAACATGTTTTTGAGACTGCCTCTAACCATCCATTTTTGGTTGGTCTCCATTCTTGCTTCCAAACTGCCAGCCGATTATTTTTTGTGATTGAATTTGTTCGTGGAGGTGACTTAATGTTTCATATGCAAAGGCAAAGACGACTGCCTGAAGAACATGCTAGATTTTATGCAGCAGAAATTAGTTTAGCTTTGAATTTTTTGCATACTAAAGGTATATTAAATTTTATCTTAATAATTAATACAATAATTTTTATTTTAATTCTAATCGTTGATACAGTCATATGATTAATATTTTATGATCAAGTAACTTTTTTTAACAAATCTATACACATGATAATATGTGGAAAGACCACACCTATTGATATAATTAAAAAACAAGAACCCCAAGAATCATCAAATACACTTTTTTATGAACATAGTGTATTATTATGAATAATTAAGTATATAAATAACAATAAAAATAATTTAAATTGATGTACAGCCTATTCGTATTTGTACAGATAGTTCATTTTTACCAAACTGACTCGTTATAATCATGAACAAATGCGTTTTTGTGCATTGATACTAACTCATTTTAAAGGCTGTCAATTTATGCATTTGTATGTTTATTTTATTATCTACTTCATAAGAAATTAAGTATGATCATTGCTAGTTTTACATTATTACTTGGAATACATTAAGAAAAAAACACGGAAATAGGAAATATTTACACTACACTAGTCTTTAACACATGATTTCTACAGTATTTCTATAGAATCTACATTATATATACTTGAAATTATCACCATATATGCCATCACCCCCACCAAATCAATTATCTATATACCTGTCATGTAGTATTTAATGTACATTTAACAAGTTTTGGTTCAATAATTTAAAACTGCTCGAAGGGCGTTAATGTCCATGTTTGTGTTTTTGACTATAAATAGCATATAAATTGTTTTTTATTATTTAAAACAATTTTCAATTATTTTTATTTAAAAAAAATGTTTGCCTTTGTATTTATTCATATTTGATTTTTTTTCCGATTTATTTCACTTATTTTTATCAATTTGCGGGCACTTACACGAGATAATTAATAATATTTATTTGAAATATTACCCATTTTCTAGAGTTTTATAATGTAATAAGTATCTAAATTTAGTCATAAATACTTATTGAATATGAAAAAATATTAGGAATTAATTCTGTTGTTTAATTCTAGTTTTAAGTTAACTTTCTATTTTTTATGGAAATATTATATAATAGTTAATTGTTCTGAATAAATACTTAGCATTATTATGATTATTTATTATTTTTCTATAGTGAATTACATCCCTTAGTATACTTATTCATAATTAGTACAAAATTGTGTAGTGAACTATAACTTAAAAGTTGTATTTATGTATATATTATATTTTAATGTTCTATTTTATTTCATTATTACATTGTTATTTCAGGTATAATATATCGAGATTTAAAATTGGATAATGTACTACTTGATCATGAGGGCCATATAAAATTGACAGATTATGGAATGTGTAAAGAAGGAATAAGGCCTGGAGATACAACTTGTACATTCTGCGGTACTCCAAATTACATTGCTCCAGAAATTTTAAGAGGAGAAGATTATGGATTTAGGTATACATTTTTTAAAACTAAATTTGTTGTTGACTATGTTCTACACTTATTACTTATACCTTTACTATATCCAGTAACTGTACAAGCCAATTCTGTACATACCCACGCAACACTGCCATACGAGACCTGTTCCACTATGGTAGGGTGTTGTGTGGGGATGCACAGAAGATTTTATTTTTGTTGGGTGTGTTCCCTTTGCCGGAAAGAGTACTTAAAAATACTATTATTATACTATAATATAATATTAAATTAAATACTTGACATTAAACTCAATCTGTTTTGTTTTTCAGTGTGGATTGGTGGGCTTTAGGTGTTCTTTTGTATGAAATGTTGGCTGGCAGAAGTCCATTTGATATTGCTGGAGCGTCAGAAAATCCTGATCAAAATACTGAAGACTATCTATTCCAAGGTATATAATATAAACAAAGGTAATTTAAAAAATAGTTTTCTCATTGTTTTAAACTTTTTTGTAGTTATTTTGGAAAAAACTATTCGTATTCCAAGATCACTTTCCGTTAAAGCAGCGTCAGTTTTGAAAGGATTTTTGAATAAGAATCCTGTGGATCGTTTGGGTTGCAATCGAGACACTGGCTTCTATGATATTATAACTCACCCATTCTTTAAATCTATTGATTGGGAAATGGTAAATCATCATTATTACTAACTTCATATTATCATTTATTATTTTAAATCATTAATATTACAATAATACTAATAAAATGAAAATGTAATAAAAAATGTATGTGATTTTAGTTAGAACAAAAGCAAGTTAGTCCTCCATATAAACCACGTCTAGATTCTGATCGTGATCTTGCCAATTTCCCACCAGAATTTACGGATGAACCTGTTCACTTAACACCTGATGACCTGTAAGTAGATTTAACATTTTCTTAAAAAATAAATCAAAACAATCATGTTGATTCAAATAATTATTAATAGCTAGTGGTGATTGAAAAACTAATAACTTATTAGTAAAAAGTTTAAAAGATTATGGTGAAGTTAAATTTGTCATATAAGTAATTTATAATTTAATACATTTTTTTTTAAATAATGAATTTTCGTTTATTTGTATAAAAATAACTTCTTATGTATACATTGATGTGCTCCAAAAATTAACATTGTCACACTTGACACACCATTTAGTGGTTAGTACTTGTACATAATTGATAAAATTAACGATTATGTATAACCGGTGGCAGATTTAGTAGGAGGGAGGGGGTGGGCAATTGGAGCTATACTGCTATAGGCATTCTCAAAAAATAATTGTTGTGTACATGGATAAGACTAGAGATGTTACAACAATATTGGTTCTATACAGTCTTCATGTCAATTCGATGGGAATGGCAAAAACATTTTAGTCTTGAATACCACATTGTTAAACAAAAAATTAACATCTATAAGCTTATATAATCTATATGTTTAATGTTTTTGTTAAAGTTCTGTATAATCAGTGTATAAACAATTAACTAAATGTATAAAATGTATTTAGCTATTAGCAAAAACAGAACATCTTAAGGCCTATAGAGGGTGCGGTCGCCCCCTTCGCTCCCCCAATGGGACGCCCCTGGTCCTATACATAATGTCCAATTTTTGTTTAGTCCAACTATCAGTTATGTCCAGTATAAATATTTGTTCATTATTTTTAATGTCCAATGTACTTATGTACTTTTATATATTATTTTATAAGTACATTATAAGTAAACAAAACGAATAAGAACCATACATTTTTTGTAAATTTAGTTTATTATATAAGAATTTGGATCATTGTGTAGTTTTAAGTGGTGAGTTAATGCTCTAAGACAGGCGTGCCTAACCTTTTTCAACTTGCAGGCCACATTGACATTTATATTTACACTGCGGGTAGTATAAACCGGTCCATTTTGATAAAATATTCACTACTATAATATGTATACTTAAAAATTGTAAATTAATATTTTGTAATTTTAAAAAGCTTATTACAATAACATTTTTTTTTAAATTATAATATTTATTTTAATTTTTTTTTGTGCCCATGTCTATGTCACCATGTCATGGGCAGGTTGGAATACTTCCATTGGAATTGGCCTGCTGGCCGAAAGATGGGCACCCCTACTCTAAGATATACAGATATTGCATTCTGTTCAGTGTAAAGAGCATAATTAATTATTGTTTAGGGACTGATGGTTTGTCACGTGTATGACCACCCCTTATTTCGGTTTATTCTAGAATATGTTTTATATTTTCTAGAAACTTTCGAATAGTAGAATGATGAATTAATAGAACTTTCCCCAGTTTTGTATCGTATGGTATCGAAACGTACAGAATTGTTGGTTCTCTGTCTTCAGCTTAATACAAGTTCATATACATTCCACATTCTTTAGGGACAGCTTGTCTCCTATCACGCCCTGGTTCTCCACGATTATATGTTGATTCCATGTAAGTAGCAAAGTCAACAATGCTTTCATTTGAGTTATCCATTAAGCTATTAACATTTTTTTGCAAGTTATCTAATGGTATGAATGGTAAAGACATTAGCTCTAATAAATTATTTCTTGTAGTTCAAATACTTCTATCTTAAGCAGTGGGCCACAGTTCACTAGCTGACACAGTAAAGATTGTCTCAAATTACTTTATTCACAATAATATCATCAAATATACTTAGTAGTATAAATATATCATACTCTGACTGACCGTCGTCCGTCTTCGCTCAGGATTGTTTTTTCTTATACAATGATATAAATATTATATCATTGAATTTAAATTTAACACTATCCATTACAGTGGCCCACTTGTACAGGCGTACAGCTACTGTACAGCAGAACGACAACCACTTGCCCACATTTTTTTTAAATTAAGTATTTTTGACTGAATAGATTTAATAAAACATTTTTTTGGACTACATGGATTGGACAAAACGGTGATTTGGTTTTATGGAGAATGTGGCTTTTATTGGTATTATATGTTATTTAATATTATTTATGACTACTTATATTATGAATATATTATATTCAAAACATTTTAAAAATATTCCTTGAGTAACTCGATGTTTTTATAACGTCCTATAAATATTACATAGTAATTCAATCTCCGCCCAAAGTAATTTTTAGAATGCAATGATTTATCATTTCTTTCAAATGATTTATATGATTAATAATAACAGAATCTACAATAATAATAATAATACGTCAAAATCCATGGTCTATCTAGTGAATAAAGTGTGACGGGTGTCTAACACCTGGTGTCTGAATACTCTGTTCAGAAATTTTTCACACACATTTGGTACATCTATGAAATGATCCACTAAACATGACCAGTATTTTATAGCGTGGTGTAAAAATTTGTATTATCCCTCACTATGTATATATATATTTCTATTATATACCAAAATCCACACTTTAAATTAAACAATTGGTATTAATTAATTATAAATTATAATAAAACATCTGTCCACTTGACTGGTTTAAGCATAATCGATTCCCGAAGTATTTTTTAGTGATCAAATTTGTTATCGTTATGTCGTGTTATTAACATGTATTCGGTTCTACAATATAAACAACAAGTTGTTAGTATTGTTTGATATATATAAATATATATTTATCACAGAATATACTTACATATTACGAATTTCTATTAAGTAGGTACCTATAGTAATACTTACTATAATATATATACAGTTTTAGTGTTTTGTACTAAGTTTCGTGAATTACAAAAATAAAATGCGTACATTTTGTTCGTAAAATATATAAGCACTTTTGTTATTAATTTTACAAAATTACAATATGCCTTTTAAGATGGCGAATATATCCTTAATATAGGTACTATAACCATTGCAGTATTACAAAATCAATCATTTAAAATTTCAATAACAAAAAAACTGCATATTATAATATTTGTTATACGGGGATACAAAAAGTTTTTCCACAATGTTTATAAGTAACGAAAAAGTTAAATTCAAGGTTTTTTTGTTGTTCTGTCTGTCAAATTTGAATTATGTTTATCATTCTCAAATAATATAATTTTTTCTATTTTATGGTACTGGTAACATGAAAAATAAGTGGTTTGTATGACAAAAGTTATAATATATATTATATTTTTTCGACGTATATTCCACCAACAATATTAGATTTCCCTTTTAAATCTCTTTAACGGCATTGCGTATTTTGTATTTGTTCTATATACATGTATTTCCGTCCTTAAAGCATGCAGACCAAAAACTTTCGGTTACAATGTCCATAAATCTATCGATTATTGCCTCGATTTTTTGGAATTCACTGCATTTATTTTCATTCAGAATTCTTCACTATTGCAGTGTTTTCTTTGTGTATTAGATTTGTGAATTGTAGCTCTACGCTTTACTTTTGATATTTTGTAATATAAATATTATGTTCTTATGTATAAAAATATATATATTTTATGTAGGTACCTATTCAGTATTGTGTAACTTATAACTACAGATTTAATGTTACTAGATGGCAAATATTAGCCTAGGCAGTATGCACTATGCACATATACATAAACACATGTTATTTTTTTTTATTTAAATCTATTAGATAAATTAAATTTATCATTACTAATAAACAGTGGTTTCAATATTTAATTCATGTTTATGTGCTATCCTACACATAAAAACGTAGTTTATAGTTAAAGTTGAAAATTGTATTTGAAATGGGAACATTTTGTCCACCAAAATATAACCACAAAACTTTTGGGCGCTTGTAAATTGGGCCCACATTGATCATGTAATAAAAATATTATAGTAAATTGCGCCCGGGATTCTTTGGTTTCCAAAATATTCATAGTAAATTGCGACTTGGGTTTTTCGGTTTCTAAAATGGGTATAGTGAACTGCGCCCATAGTATATTATATAAGTGCCCTTGAATTAATTGATATCTAAACCATCGATATTAATATTTTAAATATTGTTGATATTATATAACTTAAATTTTTTTTTATAAAATATAAAGACCCTTAGCAACATGGGCCATTGGGTTTACAAGTAACTTATAATTGTATTACTAATTAGTAATTATTATTAACTCTATATTATATAATTTACCTGATTTTGTATTATTATTAACTGCATAAATTAACATAACAAAAAATATTTTAAACAACTTTTTAATCCCAAATTATTTTATTTAAAAAAAAAAATTTGACATTTTTATTAACTATTTTGTATATTTCAAGCAAACCAAAAAATAATTTTTGGAGGACAGTGATAGTCACTTCCTCGTGGTGTCCTCTGGAATGACTATCATAAAAATAATATTTTTGAGCTTAATTGGGCGCAATTTACTACATAGAAATTTATACCTGAAAAATATTGGGCGCAAATGCGCAATTTACAATATTTTCCTTTCGTTGGGCGCAATTTACGTTTGTCCAAACTGTTCATAGATCTCATTAGTTGAAAATTATTAAACGTTAATCGTGGTATTGAACATTTCGTTTTAATCTAGATTTTGAGAAAATTTAAAAATTGGTTTTTATAATAATAATTGTACGTACTGCAATTAGCACTAGCTTTCCTGCACGGCGTTGCCTGTGCTAAAGGGTTTTTTTTTAAATATGTATATTACCATATTTCTACTATTATAATAGTAATATATTATGTAACCAATGACAACCTTATAAATAAACAAAAAATATATTCTTTTTTCGTGAGAGGAAATCTAAATCATGTGTTTAGCTACTAGCCACCCTATAGCAACCGAGAGGGGTTGAAAAAAATAGCTATAAACCCCCTCCAAGTCTCAAGAAATCTATTAATATAACTCTTACTGAAAACAATCCCGTAATTTTTGAGTTTATTAATTACAAACAGACTGACCAACGTCCTTTTCTATATATGTATAAAAATTAAATACATATTTTTAATTTACTTTATTT